AAATAAATAAATAAATAAATAAATATTGTCTTAGGCAAATAATTCATGAGGAAGAAGACCCCACTGGCAATCACAGCTACAAACAAAAATAATTAAATGGGACTTGATTAAATTAGAAAGCTTCTGCACAACTAAGGAAATAATCAACAGAGCAAATAGACAACCTACAGAATGGGCAAAAATATTCACAATCTATATATCCAGTAAAGGGCAAATAACCAATAAAGGGCAAATAATCTATAAAGAACTCAAGCAAACCATCAATGAAAGAAAAAACATTAAAAAGTGGGCAAAGACATGAACAGAAGCTTTTCAAAAGAAGATAGACAAATGGCCAATAAACACATGAAAAGTGCTTAATTGTCAGAGAAGTGCAAATTAAAACCCAAATGGACACTTTACCCCAGTTAGAATAGTTTCTATTAAAAGGACCCAAAACAATAGACCAGTACTCAACCTGTGGGTCGCAACCCCTTTGGAGGTTGAATGACCCTTTCACAGGGGTCATCTAAGACCATTGGAAAACTCAAATATTTATTTCCATTACAATTCACAACAGTAGCAAAATTACAGCTATGAAGTAGCAACAAAAATAATTTTATGGTTGGGGGTCACCACAACATGAGGAACTTTATTAAAGGGTTGCAGCACTAGGAAGGTTGAGAATCACTGCAACAGACTCTGGTATACATGCAGAGAGAAAGAAACACTTATTCACTGTTGGTGAAACTGCAAACTAGTAAAACCTCTACAGAAAATGGTAAGGAGACCCCTACAGGAACTAAAAGTAGACATACCATTTGATCCAGCAATCCCAGTACTGGGTATTTACCCAAAGAAAAATAACTCATTTCATCAAAAAGGCATCTACATTCAAATGTTTATTGCAGCACAATTCACAATTTCAAAGATGTGGAATCAACCCAAGTGTCCATCCATTCATGAGTGGATTAACAAAATGTGTGTATATATATATATACTGTGGAATATTACACAGCCATGACAAGGGATAAATTAAGGCCTTTTGTAACAATTTAAATGGAGGCAGCGACCACTGTCGTAAGTGAAGTATCTAAAGAATGGAAAAACAAACATTGCATGACTTGCTATTAAATTGGAACCAACCAATGAGCACACATGGGCACAGAAGAAAGTAAAATTCAGCAGAATTCAAGCAGAGGATAGGGGAACAGGAGGGGCTGGGTCAAAACCTACCCAATGAGCACAATCCATACTATCTGAGTGATGGGTATACTTGTAACCTGACTCAAGCATAACATATTCAATACTTATAACCGAAAACATTTGTAACCCTATAACATGATGAAATACAATATTTAAAAAATTTAAAAAACTTTAAAGGATTTTCAGAGAAAGATTGGTTAAGTGGAATAGCCTAAACTTAAAAGAGGAAGGGTTTTGGAACAAGTTAACAATAGGTTTTGGGAACTAGAAGACAATGCTTTTACCTCACAGGCTGGAGGTATGTAAAACTAATAATATTTCAGGATTTCTACCTAGCACAAATGTTTTGGCTCTTATTTTTGTTATTTTTTTTTTTGAGACAGAGCCTCAAGCTGGCACCCTGAGTAGAGTACCATGGCATCACAGCTCACAGCAACCTACAACTCCTGGGCTTAAGTGATTCTCTTGCCTCAGCCTCCCAAGTAGCTGGGACCACAGGTGCCTGCCACAACACCTGGCTTTTTTTTTTTTTTTTTTGGTTGCAGCCACCATTGTTGTTTAGCTGGCCTGGGCTGGATTCAAACCTGCCAGCTCTGGTGTATGTGGCAGCGCCTTAGCCACTTGAGCTACAGGAGCCAAGCCATAGCTCTTATTAAGTACAAGAGTTAATGGCTCTAATTAATTTGCTAGATTTCATGGCAAGATTATCATTTTGGTTCTTTTAAGTCCAAAGGATTATTATGAATCAGTTAACGAAGAAAGGCTACTTCATACAATGTGCATCACAATGGTAAATCAACTAAAATTACCTTTATTACATAATAGGTCTGTGTTTTCTCCTCTTCTCCTTCGGGAGGCAGCATAACAACCGTAAGAATTTCATATCTATTCTTCAGCTTATCTATTTTACTTAGGCGATCATGAAACTCAGAACTAATGTGAATAGAAAAAGAAAAATTAAACACCAAAAACAAATAATGCTGTGTTCTTATGGAAGACATTTGGATTTGTGTTACTGCTGAACTCAAACAGGTTAAAAGTGTTCTCGCTTTTCAACTTAATGATTCAGTATAAAATGGCTTACTTGAAGGCCAATGAGTTAGTTTGCCACAGTTTCGTGACGCTGGCAGAAGACACCATTTCTATGTCAGAGACAAAGGGCTTTATTACTCACGGCATAACAAGCGGTGTATGTTTTCTGACAGTATCGGTCACCTTTGCTCCCCACACCCTTTGTGGAGAGAAGAGATTGTGCACAGAGTAGATTTACATTACAGCCGAGGGACCTCAAACATTTTTTAATAGGAAATAAGAAAACATGCCTACTTTTGCTTCAGAGGAAGAGACAAGCTCTAGTTTCTGCTGTTCAAACATATTCTAAAAGATAGCTCAGAAGAGGAAAATTAGTGCCTCTCTTTGCAAGGCAGGCCAAACTATGAGAAACTCTTCTTTTTTCCTCACATTTTGTCAAGGTTTATTTGTAGAAACAGTTATAAATCAGAATACTAAAAAGTGAATGTTTTGTTATGAACTAAATTTTCCTTTTTTTTTTTTTTAAGACAGAGTCTCACTCTGTCACCCTGGGCAGAGAGCCATGGCATCAGCCTACCTCACAGCAACCTCAAACCCCTGGGTTCAAGTAATCCTCCTGTCTCAGCCTCCCACGTAGGTGGGACTACAGGCACCTGCCACGCTGTCTGCCTTATTTTTCTGTTTTTAGTAGAGGGTGGGTCTTGCTCTTGCTCAGGCTGGTCTCCATCACTGGAGCTCAAACAATCCTCCCACCTTGGCAGAAACAGAAAGTTTTCGTGGAAGAGATGGCATTTGGTCAATTATGTGATCCTGAAGTGTTTATTTGCATTTAAGTACAATGTCAGTGTATGTTTATATTAATCTTTTAGAGTATGGAAACGGAGGAGGGTAATAATAAATATCGTATATAATAGCCTTTCAATATACACTGATGATGAGAAACTTTTGCAGAACTATCTTCCAGCATTCAGACACAGACAGACTCCTTTTTTCATCTTCTTTCTAGCCCATTTTTCTGCAGAACAAATTCATATTCTTAAGCCTGTTGGTTAGTTTTTCCTTTTAGGTCAGTAAACTTATATTTTATGAGCAACTTTTAGAACTTTATAGGAGTATTAGTAGTGCTTATACATGCATACAATGCATATGAGGGTGGCTCACTGGCCTGCGACAACTTCCTGAAAACGAGCCATCCAATCCTGACAAAACGAAATCTTCAACCTACAGGTTCCCTCTCCTCGAGAGAACTAACGGTAAAATACAGATAGAGTCAGCAGTTACAGTTTTCCTTAGTTTTATCAACAAGGAATTCTATAACTAATTATCACTATTACTCATCAGAAAATATTTACTCATCCTTTATGTGATCACAACAGACTTACCGCATTCAATGAAATTTGGCCCAAGATTGGATCTAACGTTCTCTAATTTCAGTCCTTCTTTAAACTTACCTTGTGTTCACCCTGCTTGCCACATGTCACTTCTTATTCCTGGATCTCTCTCATTGTCTTCACTGCCTAGACAACATTTCTCTGGTGACTCCTTCTGCTTTCATCCCTCTCCTTCCTCTTCTGCCTCCCCACTCCTCTCCCCTAGCTTCACTCCCCCAAGCTGGTCAAACTCCCTCCCACCCCGCACAGTAACTCCCTCTCGGGAGGCTGCAGGGTCAAAGCCAGGATGAAAAATCCAGCCCATTTCCTTTCACCACTGTCTAAGCAAGGGGTGTCCAACCTGCTGTCTGAAGGCTGAAGTCTGATTTTTTGAAGATTTTTTTGTTTGTTTTGGTTGTCTGTGGTGTCAGATATCATGAAAAGTATGCCACATCCTTTTTTCCCCTAATTGGCTTTTGTTAGTGTTTTTGTATATAATGTGTGTCCCAAAACAATTATCCAATATACAGCAGAAAAAAGGTTGGACACCCCGTATAGATGGTCAGTGCAAGTTGGCGTAAGGCTCATAGAAGAGAATTTATAAGGAAATTTTGTATAAAATCAGGTTAGTATAATTAAAACAAAATCTCTGCTTAACGCAACACATTTTCTGTTCTCAGTGATAAGACTTGTGTTTGAAACCTCTTAAATTTCTGTTCTGGTACACATGTTTAAACTAATAGACTAAAATACATAGAAAGTTGAGAACTCAAATTGTCAATCAGCCACTAGAGTTAAAATAAGAAATTTAGAAACTGTCCGTCCATCTCTCTGTTTTCTGCCTGCTTGAAAGCTGTGGTTGCTAAGTTACTGTTATCACCAAGTCCAGGTCACTTGAAACAGCCAGTTCTG